TCTGCCATAGAAAAAGCTTTCAACCAGTAGTTGCTGCATTTAAAAACTATGTATTGTTAGAATCAACTATAAGGATAGTTGATTTTATTGAAAGAAGAAAGATACTAAACAAATAAAACTAAACAGAGAAAAGTATAAATATTAAAAGATCTAATGTTTCTTACATAGGAAACCTTAGATCCTTTATACAAAAATTTTAAGTATAAAATACTTAATAAAATTTAATATATGTATTAATAAAAGAATAAAACACTTTGGAGCTTATAGGTGCTATATTTGAGTTTGTCCTAATAATAGAACAAACTCAAATTTAGCCTATGCGCTATTTTTAGCGCATAGTAAAGAATATTAACTAGTGTTATTAATAACACTAGATATATTTAATGCTTATTTCTTACATGCATCCAGTTACATAAGTAGTTAAATAAAAATAACAGCTAATAAATGTAAATTGTTAAATTGACCAATTGATTAATAATAATAATTGAAATCTAATAGATCAGGTGTTATACATTTAAAAATCCGACTTAACTGGTTGTTGTATGACTCAACATGCAATAGGAAAGCACTTTTTTCTGATAGGTTTTTTTCTTCAATGAAATCATAACACATTACTCAAACAATTCAACAAATTAATTTTAAAATTATTAAAAGTTTCTAAAGTGTTGAAACCCCTACAACGGGTTGTCATATTGTATTTAATTCTTACAATACAATGATGTAACCCAATGATTTACTTTTAACCTGGTGCGTGTTTCTTATCTCTGCTCAATCAAATAAGAGAATATGCCTGTCATGACTGGAGATGCTTATTCCTTCTGCAATGTTCTTTTCAACGTGCTCTTTTGCTACTGGATTGTTCGTTCACTGTTCAATGTTCTTTTGCACGTGCTCTTTTTCTACTGGCTTGCTCATATCTCTTGAAATTATTTCCAGTTCGATTTGTTTCTTTTATACCTTTGAACTTTTTTATATTTCTATTTAAACTATTGTTTTATTTATTTGTAGGCTTTTATTTATATTTCTTTGCTTTGAGCAAAAAGATATAAATAGAGCCCTTTTTTCTAGTATTTCTCTGCTCCTTATCTGACAACAAGTGTCTTCTTAGTTCCTGTTAAGGTAACAAAGGAATCTTTGAATACTAAAGGATTGGGTTTTGATATTACAAAGAATCCTTTGTACCAGAAGGAGGAAAGCTTGAACGCAAAGGATCACAAAGCAGAAAAAGTCCTTTTTATTCACGCCCTATCTGGCTGTGAATAAGGAAAACAACAATGTGCGGCTACGGTTTCCCACTGGGTTTTAGTCCAAGCCAAACATCCGAGGGGTAGCAATTTTATGCACTCCTGT